AGCAAGAGGTAAGAAGGTGATGGAGATCGAAGGGAGAAGGTGATGTGGGAGTGGGAGTAGGAGGAGGAGGAGGAGGGGGATAGTTGAATTATTCACATTATCAGGAGTAGATAACAACATATGTGTTTATTCTCTGTTTATTCCTGATTTGTGATGCTATAGCCATTAATACCGGTTAAAATTTGCTGTCTTGTACAACCAAGCTTTGCTGTCTGACCAAGGTAAGTTACCATTGAATCAATGCACTGTATTAGCTACGGTGCATACAGCAAGTTTCAGCTAGTAGACAATAGGATAAACTATGGCAAGCCATCACCTTCAAAAATCTTTTTTTTAATTTAAAGATAATATGCCAAATCAATTTACAATGTTTATAATTATTTTACCAAAGTAACAATTTATTTACAGGAAAAGACATTTAAGTTGCAATTTATATACACGTTTGCAAATCAATTTACACGATTATAAATTAATCTACATTTCAAATTCATTCATTCTGCAGTAAGTAGCAGCTCGACTGTTTTAGCATTGTGCCAATGGCTAGAAATCGGCGGTGGCAGTATATTTTTTAACCGTCCCGTTTCATTTCTCAACTATCCTCCACGACCTTCTTCATTCGAACTCCATTACTTTCTCCCCTCCTCCTCCTCCTCCTCCCCCTACTCCAACACCTCCCCTCCTCCTCCTCCCTCTAGTCCAACACCTTCTCCCCTCCTACCCCTACTCCAATACCTCCTCCTCCTCATCATGCCCCTTACTCCTCCTCCACGACCTTCTTCATTCGATCTCCATCACCTTCTCCCCTCCTCCTCCTGCTCCTCCTCCTCCTCTCCTCCTCCTCCTCCTCCTCCTCCTACTCCAACACCTTCTCCTACCCCTAGTCCAACACCTTCTCCCCTCCTCCTCCCCTCCTCCTACTCCTACTCCAACACCTTCTCCCCTCCTCCGCCTCCTCTTCCTCCTGCCCCCTACTCCTCCTCCATCACCTTCCCTCCTCCTCCTCCTCTTCCTCCTCCTCCTCCTCCCCCTAGTCCAACACCTTCTTCCCCCTCCTCCTCCCCTTCCGCCTCCCCTCCTTCTCCTCCTCCCCCTACTCCAACACCTTCTCCTTTCCTCCTCCTCCTCCTGCCCCCAACTCCTCCTCCATGACCTTTTTTATTCGAGCTCCATCACCTTCTCCGCTCCTCCTCTTCCTCCTCATGCCCCCTACTCTTCCTCCTCATGCCCCCTACTCTTCCTCCACGACCTTCTTCATTCGATCTCCATCACCTTCAATCTGCGATAGTGGGCGTGTCCTAACAATGATGTGTACGCAACTGCGTGTCTGCATATCTGCGCCTAACAAATGTGGTACTACGCACGACTGAAATTTTACGTTTATAATCGTAGCAACAGACCTCAGATGAGCCCAGACGCTCTGCGGCTCTTGTTTAGATTCCCAGGAGTCTCTATATATATGCTGCTAGTAGAAGGCTTTTATCCGTTTTTTTCTTTCACATACTTTGAGAAAAGGCAGGAAAACTGTATTTTCTTATGTATCCTTACCGGCTGAATTCTGTATTGCAAAGTAATCTGAAAGGCTCAGCCCTGATAAACAATCTGAATCCGTCCTTTCTCAATTTGTACAAAGTGATGAAATTGACAATAGATTTGTTTAGATCCGCTAGCCCTAGCAATCATCAGATTTCTGTGCTTTACAGCACAAGTGTTATATAGTTGCCACGAATGACAAGGAGCTGAAGAGACGGATCAGGAAGATTCCAGGAACACCAATCATGTACATAGCAAAACACAGGCACGTTATTAAACTATGTTGACTCTGGAATATACTATAGAGGGTTGGCCTGAATAAACACCAGTGCTATGCCAGAAGTGTCCCTGCAAATCTAGATCTAAACGTAGCTACGATTTTAGTATCTTAAAGCTTGATGACTATGGTTGTGTCCGTCTTCTTAATATGATGAACTAGTTGATGAAATTGATAAATCAAAACAGGGTTAATGAAAACAAAATATTGAACAAGGACTGGATAATACAATGCGCAATATTTATTAGAAATTGAGAACTTCATAAATGTACAGCACAGTTTTTTTATTTAATTGTGTATTTCTGTTTTAGGTTTTCTATAGAGCGTATGCCAGATGCTTTCGGCGCACCCAATGTATAGGAGCATGTGCATCTTCACATCTCATTTTTATGACTCCTGAAAACAGTACACTGAAGCTGAATTGATTTTCTCGGCAACTATTTTCCAGTAATCCATTATTAATGACATTATTAGGAATTAATATAAGCAAATCAGTGAATTAAAATCTACTAGTGGGCTGCCATGATCACGGCGATCAAATAAAAGATTTTGTAAGTAGTTGATGAATAAAATAAGTTATAGCATACCTGCTTATTCTTTGATTTGATTTAGTTTATTCAATTCAATAGAATGAAAAGCAAGCAAATCAAAATCACTGGTTATTTTACCATCGTATCTTAGTGTTACATTTACGTGGCGTACAGTTTGGTTGCAGATCAAAAACCAGTGTTTAAATGTGTTAAACACAAACACGGAAATATATATTTTATTATACCTCATTCTGACACTCAAAATAGCTGGGCACATGAATCGGGTGTGGTAGTATTGGCCATGGTAAACAACCCTTTTTATACCAGCAATTGTAATACATCACAGGATTTACATTATATCCCTTCATATGGCCATTTTAGCAACTTGAGAATTCCACAAATGCCACGCGCATTTGGAGCATATCTTCCATACTTTTCTAGGCGATAGTCATCTCTGGTCGACTTCCAACCTATTTCCCCAGCAGTTGTCTTAGGAAAGCTAGCCTTTGGAAGTGCTCCCTCTATTGGAGGCAGTTTCACAAACTGACTTCCAGATGTTGTGCCACCACAGAGTGCTTCGTTTAACTGAAGAGAACCGTGTGCTTTTCAGTAATACTCTAAATATATATTTATTTATTCATATAATATATATATATATATATATTTATTTATTTATTTAATGTTGTGATAAAGTAGTAGAACATCCAAGGAAGCCAATATAATTCAAAATGTTGTATCCAAATATTAAAAATATTAAAATATTACAATTCTGATATCATATTATCTTACTCCTGATATTATATGTACGGAGCCCAGGAAGGGACATGTGAGAAATATTTTTATCTCATTAAAACGAGATAATTATCTCATTAAACGACATATTATCTCAATAAAATGACATATTATCTCATTAAAACAACATAATTATCTCATTAAAACGAGATATATCTCATTAAAACGAGATAATTATCTCATTAAAACGACATATTATCTCATTAAAACGACATATTATCTCATTAAAACGACATTATCTCATTAAAACGACATAATTATCTCATTAAAACGAGATATAGCTCATTAAAACGAGATAATTATCTCATTAAAACGACATAATATCTCGTTAAAACGAGATAATTATCTCATTAAAATGACATATTATCTCATTAAAACGACATAATTATCTCATTAAAACGACATATTATCTCATTAAAACGAAATAATATCTCAAACACCTGTGACTGCATGTAGGGAGAAGGTGATGGAGATCGAATAAAGAAGGTTGTGGAGGAGGAGTAAGAGGCAGGAGGCGGAGGAGGAGGGGAGGGGGAAGAGAAGGTGATGGAGATCGAATGAAGAAGGTCATGGAGGAAGAGTAAAGGGCAGGAGGAGGAAGAGGGGAGAAGGTGATGGAGCTCGAATAAAGAAGGTTATGGAGGAGGAGTTGGGGGCAGCAGGAGGAGGAGGAGGAGGGGAGAAGGTCTTGGAGTAGGGGGAAGAAGAGGAAGAGGGGAGGCGGAGGGGGAGGAGAAAGGGGAGAAGGTGTTGGAGTAGGGGGAGGGGGGGGAGAAGGTGATGGAGATCAAATAAAGAAGGTTGTGGAGGAGGAGTAGGAGGCAGGAGGAGGAAGAGGAGGGGAGGCGAAGCGGGAGGAAGGGGGAAAGGAGAAGGTGATGGAGATCGAATGAAGAAGGTCGTGGAGGAGGAGTAGGAGGCAGGAGGAGGAGGAGGGGAGAAGGTGATGGAGATCGAAGGGAGAAGGTGATGTGGGAGTAGGAGGAGGAGGGAGAAGCGTGATATTGATCGAATGAAGAAGGGTTTCGGTGGATGGAGGAGTAAAGGGGGCAGAAGAAGAGGAGGGTGGGAAGTAGGGGTTAAGGCAGGGAGGGGGGAGGAGAGCGAAATGTTGTTAGGACTAGGGAGGAGGGGAGGAAGGGGAGAAGAGTGTTGAGTATGGGCAGGAGGAGGAAGGAGGGGAGGAGGAAGCAGGAGCAACGAGGGCGAGACAAGGGTGGATTGGACGATTGAATAAAGAAAGTCGTCGGAGGAGGCGTACGGGAGCCAGGAGAAGGAAGGAGGCACCGCACGCAGTTGTTGGACGTCGGGTCCTCACCCGCCAGGAGGGAAAAAGTGTGGAGTAGGGAGGGAGGCGGAGGAGGTGATGGAGTAGGGTAAAGGAAGGAGGGGAAGGCAGGGCACGAAAGTGTTTTCGGAGTAGGGGTAGGAAGGACCGGGGCAGGAGGAGGAGGAGAAGGTGATGGAGCATCGAATAAAAAAAGTCGTGGGAGGAGGAGTAGGGGGCAGGAGGAAGAGGAGGACAGGAGGTGGTTAGAGTAGAGGTTAGGCAGCGAAGGGGATGGAGGAGGGGAGAAAGTGTTGGACTAGGGGGAGGAGGAGTAGGAAGGGAGAAGGGGAAAGGTGATGGTGGAGGAGTTTAGGGGGCAGGAAGGCCAGATTAGGAGGAGGGGAGACAGTGTTGGAGCTGGGGGAGGAGAGGGAGGCGGAGGAAAGGGGAAGGGAGAAGTGAGGGAGGAGTAGTAGGGGGCAGGAGGACGCAGGAGAGACAAGTGATAGATGGACAAGAGGTGAGAAGGTGATGTGGGAGTAGGAGGAGGCAGGAGGAGGGGGCAAAAGGAGGAGGAGTAGGAGGGGGGATAGTTGAATTAAATTCAAAATTATCAGATCAGGAGTAGAATAAAACATATGTGTTTATTCGTCTGTATTATTCCTGATGTTGTGATGACTATATAAGGCCAGTTAATACAGGTTTCAAAATTTGCTGTCGTTGTACAACCAAGCTTTCTTGCTGTCTGAGCCAGGTAAGTTACCATTTCGCAATCAATGCACTGTATTAGCCTCCGGTGCATACAGCTAAGTTTCAGCCCTGTAAAAACCAATAGGATAAACTATTGCAAGACCCATAACTTCAAAAATAACCTCTTTTCTTTTAAGTTAAGCCTCAACATAATGCCAACATCAATTTACAATGTCTTTTATAACATTATTCATTACCAAAGTAACAATTTTATCTTACAGGACAAGAACGGATTTAAGTTGCCATTTATATACACGCACCCAATTTTGCCAAAAATCAAATCTTACCCGAAATACTATAAATTAATCCTACGACAATTTCAAATTAATTCCATTCTGCCAGTCCAGTAGGCAGCTTACGACTGTTTTAGAGTTGTGCCATTGGCTGAAATCCGGCATCGGGTGAAAGTATATTTTTAACCGTCCCCTTTGCATTTCTCAACTATCCTCCACGACTACTTTCATATCGACACTCGCATTTAATTTCCATCCCCTCCTCCTCCCTCCTCCTCCCCCCAGTACCTCACACACCTGCCTCTCCTCCTCCCTCTGTCCAAACTTCTCCCTCCTACCCACGACCTAATCCAATACCTTCCTCCTCGCTCTCATCGTTGCCCTTACTCCTCGCTCCACGACCCTTCTTCATTCGAATCCTCCATCCTTCTCTCCATCCTCTCCTGTCCTTCGCTACCTCTACTCCTTCCTCCTCCTCTTCTCCTACCTCAGACACATTCTCCTACCCCATGAGTCACACCTTCTTCTCCCTCACTCCTACCTCCTCTACTCCTACTCCTAGACCTAACACCATTGCATCCCCTCCTTCCGCCTTCCTCTTTCCTCCTGCCCTATCCTCTGCATTCACCTTTCCTCCTCTCACTCTCCTCCTCCTCCTCCCTCCCTGCACCGCTAGTACACAGCCTTTTCACCCTCCTCTTCCAGCCCTTCAGCTGCCCTCGCTTCTCCTCCTCCCCTACCTCCAACACTTCTCAACTTTGCCTCCTCTCACCTCACATGCCGACCCGCCCACTCTCTGCCATGCACCTTTTTTATTCGGCATCCATCAGCCAAACCCTTCTCGTCCGCTCCTCCTCTTGTCCTCAATGCCCTAACTCTTACTCTCATGCCACCATAACTCTTCACTCCCCAGACTTACTTCATTCGCATCTCACATCATTCCCCTTCTGCAGCGCTCCTCCTCCACTGCACTTCTCTACCTACTCCAACAAATTTCTCAATCCCCTCCTACTACCCTCCGCTTGCACCTGCCTGCTCTTCCTCACGCACCCCCGTAGACTCCGCTCCGTTCCTTCTCCTCTCTCTCCTTCATCGCCCATCCTCCTCCATGAACTTCTTTAATTTGACGCTCCATCATCTTTTTCCCCAGCTCCTCTCTACTCCTTCCTCCTCCTGCTCTACTTTCCTCCATGAATTTCTTCATTGTCGAATCTCGCATCAACTTCACGCCTTGCCTCCTCACTCCTTCCTCCTGACTCCCTACTCTAACAACACCTTCTCAGCCCGTTCCTCCTTCCTCTCCCGTCCGCTCCCTCCTCCTCACCCACCTCTTCACACTAACCCAACACCTTTTGTCCCACTCCTCCTCTCCTCCCTCCTCCCTCCTCTTCGCTCCTCCTCCTCCTCCTCCTCCTCCTCCTGCCCCAACTTTTCGTCCACGACCTTCTTTATTCGATCTCCATCCCCTTCCTCCTTCCCCTTCGCCTCCCTTCCTCCTGCTCCTCCTCCTGCCTCCTACTCCTCCTCCACGACCTTCTTCATTCGATCTCCATCACCTTCTCCCCACATGCAGTCACAGGTGTTTGAGAAATTATGTCGTTGTAATGAGATAATATGTCGTTTTAATGAGATAATTATCTCGTTTTAATGACACATTTCATTTCATTTCACATGTCCCTTCCCGGGCTCCGTATATATGCCAATTTTACACAGATAAGATGTTTAAGGATACTCTCCACGTTGTGCACGGGTATTCCATTTGATTTTAAAATTGAGAAGCTAATGTGCAATTTGGTAGGATCGTAATGCTAATAAATAGTAATATTGCTACACCTTATTGTATTCAGTAGTCATATATCCCCAGCTCTCAGGCCAATGTCGTGATGACAGTAGCTCATGCCTTACATGGTCCTTCCTAATGACAGTAATGAAAAGATGAATAAAGAAAAGAGCATTAACGGGACTATCTGAAAACAGATTATAGGAGGCATTTTCTGTTTAATATATGTAAAACTCACCATATTTCATCACTGTGCACAAAATTGAGGTTTTTCTTAGTCATCTTTGATAATGCTGGTTTAACATGTAGGTAAATGATTCAATAATACACCGTTGGTTGGCTGCTAACTAGAGTGAACATAGCAACAGTTGCCGAGATACAATACAACAATGCAGGTGTTGATGATGAATAATGCATTATTGTAGTACGGAAAATAGAAGAAAGATACGTACAAGACCATGTCCATTTTTTATTAAGCTATATATTATTGTATTATATACATTATAGCTATATATATATATCATTACCTATGAGCAATATCATCATGTTAATAATGTTACTTTACAGACTGACCACATTAATGTTGACGAATTTGTTATAGTCATCAATAACACGTTTCAACATTTATAATTTATCATTATAATTAACTAAAAATATACTATTATGTAATTATCATTATATTATTGTATCCTTTTATTATATTTATGTATGATATTAATATAAAATGACAAAAATTATTCAGTTTAACTTAGTTAATATTGAACGCGGGTTATTCAGATAAATCTCTCTATAATCTGTGTTGTGTTGGGTAGCTTCCCGCTGGGATTGGACACCGTAATCCCTTCTAGTCTCGTACATCCTGCCATTGGCACTCCAGAATCTATCGAGTGTGCTCTCGAAAGCTACCAGGGTTTCCGCTTGCACAACATCCTCTGGAATGGAGCTTCATTCGTTTACCACCATATGTGAGGAGTGCTGCTTCCTTGCTTGTTGAGTAACTGAGAGAGTTACCTCTCGTCCCTTTATCTTGCTTTAGTTACAAGCGTCCTTCCTCATCTGGATTGTTATACCTGCTTTTCAGGATTTTAAATACCTAGCTCTTTCATATCCCCTCTGGTGCGTCTGTGTTTAAGGGACGGCAGTTTCAATTTCCCTGCCTTCTCCAATAGCTCATCTCCTTCATGCCTGGCAACAGTTTTGTGGCTCTACGCTGTACAGTTTCAAAGAAATCTATATCCTGCTGTTGGTAGTAGTGTAATGGCCCTAGGGGTGGCCACACGGGACTTTCACACGCGCTGTGGTTAGCACGTGTAATTTAGTTGTGTCGGGATCATTTTTCGCTCCTACCGCGAAGGTAGGACGGTGATGCAGTAGCAGGAACACCCAGAGTGAAATAAACGCAAGTCTTTAGATAGTCTTTATACAACTGATGGTTTTATTCATCATATACGAATAACACGAATAACGCTCACTACACGTATCTCGAATATAGCGTATAGATATCTATAATATATATTGCTCGTTTCACGTTTAGGTCCCCTCGTTAGGTGATTACACGCTTAACTTCTCTTAGCTATTCTACAGGTTACTATTGTAGCCGTCTCTGTCTCTCCCAGTCGTGTGCTCCGCGCCTCGGCGCGAGTTCGTGGGTTGGCAGTGTGTCTCCCCGTCGTGTGTAGGCTATAGCTCAGCGCCCCTCCCTTAGTATAGGATATACCTTCTCGGCCGTCGTCCTGCTTGTGCGAGGCTCTCCCTCCGACGGTGTGTGTGCGCTCTGGCTCGAGCGTGTTCGTTCGTTCGTTCGTTCGTTCGTGGCCGTCCGAAGACTGACTCGTTGACTCGTGCGTTCGTGGCCGTCCGAAGACCGACTGACTTTACCATTGGATCTTGGCTGCTTATATAGGAGCCCGCGGTGACGTAGGATCCAGGCGGCGCCTCCCTGTCCCGTGCCTCGGGTGCCTGGCTGTTGTCCCCCTAGCTTAACACGTGTACAGGTGATGCAACCCCCTTGGTCCAGTATATGCACGAGCGTCGTACCCCCTTGTCTGCCACGTGCTCGGCTGGCGCCACTCTCTCGCCCAGCGCGTGTACGTGAGGGTGCAACTCCCTGACCTCCCACATCGGCTGGCGCCACCCTCTCGCAGGAAAACTTTCTACCTCTGTTGCGGTGGCTGGTCTCTGGTTGTATGACGTCATCCCCCCTGAACTCCACAACTCTTCACTCCCCCCTGAAATCTCCACAGTAGCACCAGACAGTCGCTCCATGTTTCAAATGTGGTCTGACTATATAACCTTGTACAACATGGAGAAGGTTTTGTCGTCCAGATAAGTCAAGGTCCTCCGTATAATACCAAGAATGCTATTTGCTTTGTTGACGATTATGTGATTGTGGTTTTGGAAGGTCAGTTGATTGTCCTTGATGATACTCACGTCATTTTCCTGATTCTCTACCTCTAGATGAACATGGTTTCGAATACTATCAATGTCACTGTAAAGATGAAGTGCTGTGTTAGAATTATTGCTAATTATCACTTGCTTGCACTTGTGTGGGTGGAACTGTAGTACCGTAGCCATTTATCTGACCATCCCTGTAGATTGTCCAGGTCCTCTCGTAAGTCTATTGTAGATGTTGTACCTTCATACACTTTTATGTCATCCACGAACAGTGGTGCTATACATTCTACTACCTCCAGCAAATCATTTATAAACAATACATACAGGGTTGGCCCTACAACACTACTTTGTTGGATACCGATTCTTACCCGTTTCCATTCGGATGTTCAGCTGTTTACCACCATCTGTAGCCATCTTCCTCTCAGGAAATCTTTAATCCATTTAATCATCTACCCCGACAAACCATAAGCCTCTAGCTTTCAAATAAGCCGTTTTTGAGGAACAGTATTGAAGGCTTTCATGCTCCCTCTGTCATCTATAATCTCTATCCAATGGTCGATTGCCTTAAGTGGTTGCTGAACAGTAGATCTGCCTCTGACAAAACCCATATTCTGTGTGCTCAATAGGTTATTGCTGATTAGTTGGTCCATATACTCTTTCCTGTACTACTTTTCCATGATCTTGCATATCACGCTTGTCAGACATACAGGCATGTAGTTCCCTGTGTCCTCTTTGTCTCCCCTTTGTGAATATTGCAGTAATTTTTCCTCTTTCCAGCTCTTTGGCACACGTCCTGTTTGCAGAGACTGATTGTAAGTAATATTTAGTGGTGTGACTATCACCGCCTCACATCACTCCCCATTTCAGAATTCTCGGGTGCATATTGTATATTCAGCTAGATATTCAGCTATCATTGAAGTTCCTCAAGTTTTACCAGACTGCATCAAAATAGACTCTGTAATCAATACCAACTAGCAGTAAAACAATACTATATGATTGAGCCAATTTAATTCATTGATACATCAAACTCTTACACCTGGAATAGCACAATATAAATTTACACCTATTTCTGTTTACATGGCATTTTAAAACAACACATGCTGATACACTATACAAACTGAAGGCGGTCTATATACAATATCTTATTTAACTTTATCAATACCGATGAAGTTGATTTAATGTCAGCTATTTTATATTTGATCTTTATAATGGAGATCTAGAATTAAAATTTATTTAGAACTGAGAAACCTATTGATCATATAATTCACTGCTAACAGTTTAGTTACGTATCCACAAAATAAATATTCTTCTCCATGCGGTCACAGATAGTGAGGTACAGTTGAATGCAGCCCTTCCCCTGTGGGGTCAGCTGTTTCCAGAAGCCTGGCTCAGTCATCCAGAGACTTGGGAGCTCATCCACCGGAACCAGCCTAATATCTGTTGACTCCTCCACCTCAACTTGCTCCCCTTTTCTATAGGCTTCTATAACCTCATCACCATTAAGTCTGCATCTGAAAAATTAAAATTTCAAGCTCAGTGAGTCAGTGTTGTAGTTGAGTCCGCACCCCCCGAGTCCGAGTCCGAGTCCGAGTCCGCACCCCCCCCCCCCCGAGTCTGAGTCCGAGTCCACACCACCCGAGTCCGAGTCCGAGTCCGGTTTTGATAAAAAAAGGGGAAAAACCGGAAAAAGGAAAAAAATCGGTAAAAACGGGAAAAAATCGGGAAAAAAGGAAAAAAGGGGGAAAAGGAAAAAAATCGCAACAGTGCATCGTAGGCATTCGAAAGTGTATAGTCAGCCGAAAATACAGAGACACGAGTCATACGAAACGTGTCAAAGTAACGGATCCATTTGTGTTTTACGAGAATGACACGGCTTGTTGAACCAAATGAGAGATTGCTAGTACCTTCGAAGTGGTAGAAGAAGAGAAAGAAGTGGTAGAAAAAGTGCAAAGGGATGAAGTGACAGCAGATTCAAACCAAAGGGACAAGAATCTTAATCGAGCCATTGAAAACGTTACAAGATTAGGCCGTGTATCTAGAAAACCTAGGAGTTCTAGTTTTAAATTCTTGTAAACTGCGTGTTACAATATGTACAGTTGTGTACTATGTATGTATTGGCCTCGAGCCGGCCTCGACCCGAGTCCGAGTCCGAGTCCGAGTCATTGCACTCCGAGGCCGAGACCGAGACAAAGGAAAACGGTCTCGAGGCCAAGACCGACCTCGAGACCTACAACACTGGTGAAAGTACCTCAGTGCATCAGACTATGTATAGTACCTTCATCACACTGGAGGAGAACATCATTGTGTAACAATATACCCAAACGACAAACTACAAATTAAGGTTTAAAAGAGTAGTTAGATAAAATTTCAAATTAAAATTAAATTGATTAGCAATCTAATCATTTTGATAAGGAATGTTGTTGGCAAACATGTGGTCAAGTGCAAAGGGCCTAACATGTTACATGAACTAACTTGTAGCAGGGCTTCCTTTTTGAACAGAGAGCTATGTTCCTCAATCCCCTCAATGCTCAAAGAGAATGCTTTTAATACATATTCTAAGTTTAAATGAAAGTGCCAATGACACTATAGCTCACCTTGGGTGTGATAGAAGAGGGAGATGATATTTAAAATTTGGTAAGTGTTTCATTTATGACGGACCGAAATGTGATCAAATGTCCTTATTCCCTGTTTTATACTAATAGAAATTTCACTGCTTTGTTTCAGGGTTAGTTTTGATGCTAAAATAAATGTTTCAGATCTGAAAGTCTGAAATCTGGGCGAGATATGGCGCTACGCCTAAATGATCGCCATTTTGGTTTTTGATTATCGTGCAAATAAAAACAATAAAATATTCCAGTTAAATTACTGTAACGAAGAATCTAAAACACAATATTACATGTAGGTATGATTAGATAGGTAGGTAGGTAGGTAGGTAAATTTAACAAAATCGACTGAATCTAGATGGCCATTTTCATTTTTGCCAAAAAGTAGGTCGACTGGCGTGCTCCAAAATAGGACGTTCAAATCTTTCCCATAGGAGTAACAACTATAAAACGTGGGTCAAACGGTTCTTGAGTTATCGTTGACCATAGGCAGATACTGAAATGCATAGTGAAATTGCCAAAATCTACCTAATTTGCATAATTTAAAAAAATATCAAAACCCGTGTGATATGTTTTGGGGCCAGTCCTTAATCATTCACATACTAAAAATGAGCAAAATCCATTGAACCTCAACTGACTTATGACAATTTCCATTTTTGCCAAAAAGTGGGCGTGGCTCGTAAGTAGGTCGACTGGCGTGCTCCAAAATAGGACGTTCAAATCTCTCCCATAGGAGTAACAACTGTATGCAATTTGAAACATGTGGGTCAAACGGTTCTCAAGTTATCGTTGACCGTAGCCAAATGTTGATGGACGACCGGGCGGGCGGACGGGCGAACGAACGGACGGACCGTGGACGAATGACAGACAACGCCCCATGGCAATAGCTCATCTTGACGATGTCAAGGTGAGCTAAAAATGGGAAGATTCTTACTTTTTTTATGGTACACAGTCTATTTAGATTAATCCAATTGCTCTTTGAAGGTTCTTTTTTATTTAATTTACTAAATTAAAATAGCTCATTTTATCTACCACTTTCTTCATTTTGGGATCATAGGAAACATTAAGAAAAATGTATTAGCATAATCACTGTAGTGATTCCACTAATTATGGAACGTTCACCTATGCAAACAAACCCTCGCAAGCTTGATGACCTTCAGATAAAATTTTGGGGCCCCAACATTACTTGTCTTGGTGACTGGGCGAGTGTTAATTTTCATCTCCAATTAGAATTTTGCATTTTATCACACGTATGGGTGTATTTGGTTCACACTGGCCATGAATTGACTCGCAAATTGTGATGACAATCTAGGTAATTTGTGGCTAGATATACCTGATAATAAATTCAGCTAGTGGCTTTCCACAATTGCTGCTATCACGGATAATTCCCATCAGTCCTGGTTCAGACAGGCATGCTTCTGCTATGCCAACCTCATCGGAGACCTCGCGCATTATGGAGGAGAAGATTTCATTGACGACACTGTTTGCTTTAGATTCCAATGCTTCACAGGTTACTTCAGCTGGCGAGGAGACTTTTAACACATCCTGCAATATATCGTAAATTTCATCAAATTAATATATATTTATATATATTATAATATATATTATAATATATATAATTATATATAATAACGAATTTACCGCTTGGTCTCGCCACACGACGGTAAATAACGTGAAAACCATGTCGTGCAAAAGTACGATTTATGTCAAAACGAAGGAAGCTACGCAGTTTGTAATACTACCGGAAGATAGAATAAGGACCAGTGAACAAAAGACGCTCATGTTTGTATACATTTGTATTTTTATTCACATCGAACTTGTACGACAAAATGTAGTGAAATCAGTACCAAATACGTGTCAAACTCCTTTGTCTTTATTAACTCCTGATATATATATATATATATACAGCAAAATAAGCGTACGTAATGCTATAATAATTAGGAACGTTGCTAAAATACAACAACCGGCCAGCAGGGGCGTGTACAGGATTTGTACCAGGAGGGGTCTAACCGTAACCCAAACTTGCGAGCACGCGAAGGGGGGGGGTCTAGGGGGCCCTCCCCCAGAAAATTTTTGAAATTAGACCCCCTTAGATGCATTTTCTGCACGAGCAGGGGGGGGGGTCCGGACCCCCTGGACCCCCCCTGTACACGCCCCTGACCAGTCGGTTTTTATTTGCCGATATAACGTTTTGAAAAGCAGACCTGGGGTTCTGGATGACCACCTGGAACATCCCACATTCCTGGCGCTTCTGCTTGCTGCTTGCTACGCTGGATTAGCACAACCAGGTTATCTGATGTGACTATAAATGCGCCAACGCCCAGCGGATCCGCTAGGTATGCTTGACTGTCGGCATGATCAACCAGTCCATCTGTTTGCAATAAAATCCCGTCGGCGGACATATTCGTCCCTATAAAATCCCTGTAGCATGTAACTCCTAGGCCAAGGTAAAGACATGATGGGTCAGAATCAATAGGTGCTATTTTTTGTGCTGTACTCAACCTGAACTTTGATGCATTGAACAACTTGGCACTGCTAGCACTCTTCTCTTTCCAAGCGTCATCAATTTTGGCATCAAGTTCAGGTTTAGAATGCCTATTGAATTTGCTGGATACTGCGACGGAGACCTGACTGGGGCTCAGCGGCCCTGTTTTTAAGAAAGCCATCACAACAGAAACATCTTGTATCTCAGCCATGGCGTTATAATATGCTTGTGGTGCTCTTTTTTGCGTTTTCTTACAATTCTAATGTTCTTGTTTTTAGATCAAGCAGGTGCATCTCTATGAATATGATCGCTATCAACATTTCCATCGTCGACGCTGTTTACGCACGTGTTTCGGATATCCGGTCACACCTTACGCATGCGCTGGATCGGATCAAGGTTTCTATAGATACACACGTAAACAACGCCCAAGTGAAGTAGGGCCTATCTTGGCGTTTTGTGTTGTGTGAGACTCGTTGGAATTTTGTTTAGGTGGTGACTGACTGTAATTTTTTTAACCATATATGATATTACAAGATAAAGGTAAAATGGAATCAAGCAGCCTCACACAAGACATGGAATTTACCGCTGGCAGCGGAGCCGTCTTGAGTCCAGAACAAAAAGCATCTCTGCAAATGTCACTCATCTTGCTAAAAAACGAAAACAAATTTCGGGGCTTGTTTTTTTGGGGAAAAATTATGGGGCTATCAGGTGATTACTACATTGCACAAGGAAGGTGGCAACATGCACTTAGTGATAGAAAACGCTTTTATAGGTAAGACTAATTAAGAGTAAGATGCGATAATTAAATCATGCAGCATAGGCTTTGACATTGGTCATTAGTCAGACTTATAATTTATTACTATTAGTATTACTATTGCTAATTTGTCATATATTATCTTATTCCTGCTATTAATATTATACTAATATTAATAATATTAATAGGGGCCTAGTAATATTAATAATATCAGGAGCTAATAATGACAAACAATTTGTCATTATTACTATTACTATTAGCTCCATTATTCTTCATTATTATTATTAATATAGGATATATTATATATATTAATATTATATATAATAATATCCTAATATTCCTATATTATCTTACTCCTGGTAATAGTATTAGGCCTACTAAATACTATACTACTAGTTATATAGTCTAGACTCTAGATAATAGAGTAGTATATTAGTTTCTTGGACTTCAAAAACTAACCATTAAAATTAGGTTAGTATCATAAACACATTTAATTAGTAATTATGGATATTGCATGCAATTATAGTACCTATACTATAGTCTGCAGTATAGATGTATAGATGTACCTATAGTACATATACCTACAAATTATATGGTATGTGATATCTTTCACTTGGCAACAGGTAGCTCTACTGGTGTAGTCACTGTGTAGTACCTTTGCTCCTAATACTGGTATTAATAGTTACTAGTGCCGTAGTGGGAGCGAAGGGGCTACACCGGTAGTACTATGCCACAACTGTAAGTGTTAGCAAGAGACGGTATGTTATGTTAGTGAATAAATGTATGTCAGGAACTGTTCTAAATTAGATGCCATTTAGCATAAATCTACGGGATGGGTATCCAAAAACTATCATGATAGTTCTGACGTTGTTTGGACCCAACATGATTGGCCTCCTCTTCGTGTCCGCTTTCTCCATGCAAAACTTGTAACCCATAAAATTTATCATGGTCAAGTGAAGATTTGCATTCCCTCTTGCTTAATGAAGCCTGTTTGTAGGCACATTGAGGCACTCGATCATCTGAGCGTGATCATTGCTTTCGAGATGTGCCATCTTCAATGGATCCCTTTAAGTTTAGCTTAGTTTCTTTCATTCCATATATTGGAATGCTCTTCCTTCCTGTATGGCTAATGCAGAATTGAACCATTTTCTACTGTGATTCGCAGTGTTGATCTGTCTATATTTTATCAGCATTGTCTCTCTCCAACTTTGATATAGTCCCTTGGACTTTGAAGACTAATCTTTATGAGGTTATGTATTGCAATACCAGTAACTGTAACAGTGCTCCAGATAATTTTTGGCGTTGATGAGTATTTACTCACCATTTTTTTTATGTATGAGTATCGGCAAGATCCCTATGAGTACTCCTTGTTGGCAGTACTCATCATATTTTCTTAGTATGAGTATCGACCAGAATATTAACATATCTTGCCTTTACAACCTCATTAGTTTAAGAGGTACTCACACAAAACTTGACATAGTGATTGTACACCACCCAAAGACCCTGCCGTTCTTTGGGAGGTGTCCAAACTCCATGTCAGGTTACGCAGATTAAGTGCAATTTCTTATATTCTAAATCAATGTGATTTAGAGCAGAGCCGATACGGGAGTAGATGGAAGGTTAGCGTACTGATACGATCTGTTTGTTTTCTCATGTACGTATTTATTAAAACACAAGCGTATCTATACGCATACCTTTGAAAATTACATGCGTATTTGTATGAAATTCATGCGTATTTACGCAAATACGCAAGCTATCTGGTGCACTGCTGTAACTGTAAGGATGTGTTCTACCAACATCCTCTGTCTAGTGTCTAACCACACAAAAATTGAAGCACAGTGAAGCAAAGGACAATGTATGTTGAGCTAAGGCCGAATTATTCTATTAGCTCTACTTTTGTAACTCTTCACTTCGCCACAGGTGTAGAAATGACAACTTCACACCGACTGACCCGGATTCCGTTGCTCTGCTGGGTTATTGGGTTATATCGTATATCAACTAGGTGGTGATAAGTCACTATAGACTATATAATAATGAACCCATGTATATATAAGATATTGTAATTTGTTTTGAAATGCATAGGTTTTAACTAAACTATAAAATATCAAATTTCAGCAAGGACTGCATCAAATGGAACCTTCTCCCTGAGCCCGATGAATTAATGAGAGAGAACAGCCGCCTCATGGTTGGCCGCTTCACGGGTGACCCTTCTCATGAGTTTGAGCATGTAGAAATTAAGAAAGTGAATGGACAAGATGAAGAGTTTTTTGTAAGCTTTAAGTAAATGCATGCATCACTTTTATCTCTTGTTGTGTCAATAGATCGAGTTGTGATATAAGTCATATAAGATCATATAACACACCTGTGATTCACTGTGCTGTGATGCAGCATTCAAATGGGAAAAAAACATTGTTGTATTTGGAGTTTTAAACAGGTTCCAATGTGGTATGATTTCGTTTTCAGTATTTACTCATTCATTTCTGCATTAAAATATTACAGACAGCAATGAAGGAGGAAAATAGACTAGCATCAGTAATAGCAGACATTGATGATGATGCTGCAATCATTCCTCGAGGAGCATACCTCAGAACCCCACAAGGGATAGTAAAGCCTAACAAAAGCTTTGAAGGTATAGTTACATTGAAGGTATCGTCTCATAATGAACTAGTACTAGTAGCCTAGTTGTAATAACATAGTGCATCAAAATCTGTATGCTCATACTCATTTGCTCTGATGTATTCAGGATATATTACAACAATTTCCTTTGTACAAATGCAAGTCTTTTTAGTGATGAAAGGATGATTTAAAAGTGCACAAATGAGTTTATTACTATATCGTGCAGATACCTCTATGTGGCCACTGACACCTTGTTTGCCACTGTGTCATTGATCTTGAGAATGTTAAAAATTGACAAATACTTTGCTTAATTCATGTAATTAGTCCACCTCTTCACAAAATTACACTGCCATTTTCACCTAAGCATCACATCCACTGGCTGATCTTGATGAAATGGTAATGAACTCCTCGTATGCATTCAGGGCTGTCTATAGCCGATGCGACAAAACTAGAATCTTATCTCCACTTCCGTGACATGGCAAAAATGTCTGGAAAGGAAGTCTCACAGCGTGCAGACTTTAACAAGTCCTTGGACTTCCTTGATCCCATCTCTGATGACATTCCGCAAGGTAAGCAAGGGGTTGGCTAATAGTAATACTTGCTGCATTCTTATAAAATTTCTTTTTCACCTAGTTGTATTTCCAGGGTTCTCTCCCGGGAATTTCAGAAGGTATGTCATTTATGGCCGGGTGGGGAAGGTCCGAATGGGGGTTGTACCCATTGGAGTCAACTATGTGTGTCATAAGCAGCCCCAATACACTGGTAAACTCACACATAAACTTCAGTTCGGAGACGTATGACGACTGTGTTGGTATTGTCAAAAGTAAATTTTGTGCATGTGTGCTATTAGCGAGTCTTTTTAGAAGTGGCCTGGCACAATTTGGCAAGCACGTTCGGGTCGTGTGCCTTTGGATTTTGCCAGTTGTGCAAGATGTGAATATCTTTCATTGCTAAATAAGCAATCTACTTGTAGGCTCATGGAGTATACAATCAGAGAGAGGCAGCGGCCTGGTTGTACTACGCAGCCTCATCTGGTTCGGTCTTACCTTCTACCACATACCGAACACACCCCAGTATGGTTTCATGTACATGGGCAGTGGAGAGAACAACAAAGACCTGCCATTCATGCTGTAATAATTTGAGCAATGTTCAGGAATTTAATAATATATATAACTTTACCTCTATCGGTGTGAGTGTGTGTGTTTCCTTGCCTTGATCGTAGATAAGAATATCCAAACATGCCAAAAATATGTGTAATCACAAACGAAGAGCCTGCTATATAATATTTCAAACTTACTTTTATATAATAATGACATGTGTTTATGTACAGTATAAAAGCAGACATGGTAGGCCTATTGTTACATCAGGTATCTGAATAATGCATCTAGCTTGCTAATGAAAAGAGTTGATTCAAGCTAAGCAAGTACCAACATGTGATACGATACTTACTACTTACTCCTTTCTAAATCATACAAATGTGTCTTTAAAGCACAAAGCTCGTGTACACTGGTAAACTTATGCATTACAATGGAAACTATTGTGCCATTGTACACTACTTGAAAAACAGTGGCCTGTCACTATCGCATACATGGTCCGTGTTGCCTATAACAATTTCTACACATATGCCCACCCACCTACATGCATACCTAATTTTGTGTGCATATTTAAATCACTTCCAGACATACCTGAAGTATGTCCTCAACCCTCGTTAACATGTTTCAATTTGATTTTCTCGTAATGTTCTTGGAACAACTCCTGTCGCCACTTCTTTTTCTGGCGTTGTTCTGCTACTGCTTTATAGCTATACTCGTCCATGCTGATATTTAGGCTCTGTGGGCTGTCATAATAGCTGTTGTACTTCTTCCACTTGCCTGGTGGGATGTATTTCTGATTGCGTGGCAAGAGTGTACGGAGGAGGCCTGCAAGTAAATGGAGCAAAGTAAACATCGAGGACCAAAAATACTTTACTATACATTCGAAAACATTCAAACAGATTGAGCCTGTTGAAGCTAATTGCATATCATACCGATAGTCGAGAGTATTCTAAAGAGATGAGCTCTAAGTATACCTGACCTCCTGTTTTGTAGAATTTATGTATCATTTGGTATCCAAATTTTTCTGGCAAATTTGATGAAAAGTGGTCAGCAATATTTTGAAAAATTTGCCCATATGCAGCATGGCCATATATCCTTAATATGAAGAGCATAGGTAAAGTCAATGAGGTTTATGATGTACTTGTGAGAAGAAAGTTCAAGATCGAACTGCATATTCCAGTTCCCCATTGAATTTTTACCCTTGACCTCATTTTGACCTGCTCATATTATTTTGCATTGTGCCTGTGTGTGCAAGATACGAGCACTGTCATTGTGATTTGTGCTGCTATTTCTGTCTGGTAGATGCTCATGCCAATCTACTGGCCAAATTCAACCAAGTCATACGAGATTAAAATTTTGGTCAAATGACAACATTTTTACGGCGCTGTGCACAGGTGTTTTGACTGCTGTGTTTACATCATGGTCCGTGAGCGTAACTTACAATGATGAATGATGAGAAAAGCACATCTCCATTTACCTGCTCTTTGTGCCTGCTGTAGAGTTCGCTGCATCTTCCACTGGGATTTCTGACACAGTCCTGTGATGCGCCTGGGCAGCAAACGACCTTCATCTGACAGAAACTGCCTTATGACCAATACATCCTGGAAATATATTGATAATCAGGACAAATACACTTATACATGGTACTTAAGTATTAAGGATTCTAGCAAGGCACTTGTAAAACTGTTCCTGCATTAAACTAATGATCCGTGCATCATTTCGGTATAGACCAACAGATTTTGCGAATAACAATGTGTAAGGTAGCTGCACTTGCTGAGACCGACTGGTGGTTAAATAAAGGAGCTTACTGTGTGTGAGATCTCGATGCCAAGCCTGCAGAGTGGACATGCTCCATGTGGATCGTCGACCGACAGCAATTGCTTCGATCTATCCTTCACCTCAATAGGTACAGCTTCTATCTACAAGCACGTTTTAAAATGCCCTGGTCAAAAATGGCTAAACAAACATAAATGCTGTCGAGTGTACAAAAGCTCTACAGGGACGCCACCTACAGGAATATATTCCCTGTATAAACTGCAATTTTATAAAATGGTTGTAATAGGCTTGTGCATCAGTGAAGGGCGTGGAGTTGATCTCTTTCATCACTATCTGAACATTCACATTTTGTTTTCACTAAAATAAGCCCCGTCACAAATAAATACTCACAACAGTCGTGTTTCCACTTTCAGTTCTCTTTACTGCAACATAAAATAATGCAATTTCAACATCATGCTTGCAATTCCACATAGTACCTTATATTAATTATGAATATACTTTATTTTATGCAAATGTAGTTTGGGCACATTTACATATTCTGATCAACCTTGTTTCTAAAATGTTACCCACCAATTATTGTATATATCTTTGATATATAAATAAGGGCTGGACAGCACAGTGTCCGGAGTAATTCACTTGGGGGTTATTTACAATTTAATCCTGTTATTATTTACCTTCACAATGAGTGCAATATAATTTACCATCATAATTATCAGGGAAAGTTACTATATTTACTGTAAAAAATGAAATTTGAATTCACATTATTAAAAGGTATATCCACCTCACGCCTAGTAATAGTTTCAGCAACATTGATTTTCAGACAGAATACTTTTATTCTCATATACAGGGCAGTATTTTCATCGAATGTCCCCTACTATTGTTGGGTTACATTATTGTATCTAGTAGTAGTAGTACTAGTACTAGTAGTAGTAATCTACGCGAACGATAGCTCTAGTACTATATAGCCCGCGTACAGTTGCCGCAGGGCTATAGAACATTCTATTACGAATGCTAGGGACCAACTTATTCACGGTTACTCGCGGCTATAAAACGTCTGTGGTAGGCAATGTGTCTGTGATAGGCTGTGTCTCATCCAAAGTGTATATGTCTTAAGTTATATCAGCTACTAATGTTTAACCTCTAACTATCATTGAAATGGTCTACTTGTGGTATTTCTTGTAAACGAACATTATTGGACAAAAACCTTGTTGTTGTCAAGTAACAATCAAATTAAGCGATCAAAAAAGATGGTACGTAATATTAGTTTTGTCATGAAAGATGAGCAAATTGCTATTATTATTAATATTAATTTGTTACTTGACAACAACGTTTTTGTCCACAACCAACACAACCCGCCCACCATAGTTCCCGCTAGTGATGTCACGATCATCGATTATACTCGATCATCGGTTGAACAGTGGCTCGAACCAAGCGCTTGGTTATCAAAATCCATAATCAATTTCATCGAGAAAAAAAAATCGAAAAAGTGATGAGAATCAGAGATATCATCGCTACTATGCAAGTTATCCTTTATTAACATACATGTATTATACACACAGTAGTAAACAGTGCAAAAAAAACAGTAAACAGGGCTAAACAAGCACATACATGCACACACGTACATGCACACGACGTTACGCACACGCAGGCATTCAACACCCCGAGTAACCGATTGTAACCGATCATCGGTTACTTGGGTCCAACCGATGATCGATTACGAAATTACAACCGATTGACAACACTAGTTCCCGCTGACTGGCTGGAGTAAGTTGGTCCCCGAGCATTCGTAATAGAATGTTCTATAGCCCTGCGGCAACTGTAAAGTGTACGTGGGCTATAGTACTAGAGCTACGCGAACGATAGCTCTAGTACTATAGCCCGCGTACAGTTGCCGCAGGGCTATAGAACATTCTATTACGAATGCTAGGGACCAACCCGCTGACTGCCGCTGCTGCAGTGCCACCAAAAATGGCCGTTTGAAGTTCGTAAATCGAATGTTCGTTCACAAAAAGAACCGCAAGCAGACCATTTCAACGATAGTTAGAGGTTAAATTTTAATTGGGGATATAACTTAAGACATATTTACTTCGGCTAAGAGGCATTAATTGCCTACCACGGACGTATTATAGCCGTGAGTAACCGTGAATAAGTTGGTCCCTAGCATTCGAAATAGAATGTCCTATAGCCCTGCGGCAACTGTACGCGGGCTATAGTATTAGAGCTACGCGAATGAATGCCCCCAAGTACACAGGCACTTGGAACGTCTCAATAATAAAAAAAATGTAAACCCAAAATGTATTTACTACCAACGTCTTAATGTTTCTCTACACTATTTCGCCTATTATTGCCGATAACTTGCTGTAAATGCCGTTCAAATGCTCATCTGCAACACACAAGTACACCGCACGCCCGTCCTGTGCACAAACAACATGAATAAGAGAGCAGGTAAGAAAGCGTGATCGCAAAATTCGCTCGACGCTCGCTTCATTTCACACCTTTACAGCACGAATACACATACAACAGCTTCCATCTTGGTATATATGTCTATCTAAATGTTCACTTGTTCGAATTATAACTCTGGCCTTTGTTCTTACCTACTCCCGCCAGAGATATCTCGTGAAATCCTGCAGGAAATGTTCTCTCCGTGAAAATTTAAAGAGGATGAGATGTCTGTTTATACACGAGTAATGGGGCGCATTGCATGCCGGGATGAGCTGCTGGCTGCGACTAGGGGCAGCGCGTCTCCCAAGTCCGAAAGGCGCCGAATTATTAGTATTATTATTTTTTTGAATTAGGGTTAGGATTAGGGTTAGGGTTAGGGTTAACTGATTTCTATATCCACAACTTATTTATACTAATAATGCGCCATCTAGCGGATCACTATCTCCCCTGAGACCTACTATTTCGGACATGGGAGACACGCTGCCCCTAGAGGCATTCTTAGCTGCTACCTGCCTCCGAGCTCCGTTTCGAGGCCCGCCAAGCCAAGCATAACGCGTGCGGGCATGACGTCACGCACACACGACTACAGCGATTGATCGAAAGTAGCACCGTTAGGGATTTTCGGATGATACGTCCTCTTTACATTTTCACGGCCAGGGTTCAACATTAACTTTTTATTTCACTAGACCATCGGTCTAGTAATGGAGGAAAACCACTAGCCCTGACCTAACTTTCACTAGCCCAGACCCAGACCATTGTTATGAAAAACTTTATTTAGATAAGAGTGTGTCATCGTATGAATTCATAGATGCTGTTTCCCGCGCTTTAAATCACGCGTGGGCCGAGTTCACGTGCTGCATTCGTATTCTACCACGGGCATACACGAGCGCACAGTTTATCGATCGTCTACTGCGGCTGGCAGTAAGCCACGTTATTGTTTTTGCTGAAGGGTAGACTGGTATCCGGCCTCACGCTCTGCTAGACAATGTACACGCTCTGCGACAAACAGTGCAGCCGCGAACCAGTCTAGCCAGAGGTGACCTTTCAGTGCAATATATATGACCAATTCTAACACGACCAGTCGGGCTACTATAGCACTCTGGTTGTATGCGACCAGACCAAGCATTTACCCGACTAGATTGGTCGAACGTGGGTTAGTGTCGAACCCTGACGGCGCAATAATTTTGCCTGCGGCAGTCAATGTACGCGGGCTATAGTACTAGAGATATGGTTCCAAGTGCCTGTGCCCAAGTATAGCTGATAGGGTCTATGTCCCCCAGGGTACTGCCGGAACGTACCTTGGGTACGGTCCGGTATACCGGAACGTACCCTGGTACTAAATACTACTATCTAATACAGTGCTCGAAATAAGCGTTGTCCGGTTGTCCGAGACAACCAGAATTTGCGCGCGGATCAACCTAACGTTTCTGAGCATTGTCCGGTGGACAACCAAGAAACCCTATCTCTAACCCTAACCTAACTCTAACCGACTCGGCTGTCTTATATACGCGTGGTACCCAATTAATCTATGGTGTATAACCTTTTGCTTTCAATATTTTGCATCTGAACTGACAATCAATCCCATGCAACCAACTGGTATAGGCTAGCTGGCACAATAATGTTCAGTTTCATACTCCAAATCGAGTGTTTTCTAGCTCATCAAGAAATCTTAAT